GTCTGTGGCCGGCGCTCGCATCGCCTCTGCCCTCCCACTCAGTGTTGCTGGCGGTGTCTGTCCGCCCGCCCCGTTCGCTCTGAGGCCCGACGTCAGGTAGGTAAGCTTCCTGCGCACAGTAGGTCTTCAGGACGCCTTAGCGCTTGCAGTTCACTCCAACAGGCCCGCCCAGCCCCACGACAGCTGTAAAGCAGGGCTCCAAGGGAGCTTTCTGTTTGGTTTCTAATTGTGGAACAGAGTCGTTACCCAGAACGTGACACATGGACAAGGTAAAAGAACACTTTCTAACGGATTCTAAGCCTGTTCAAGGTCACTTTCACATGAAACGTGCACAGTTAACATCATTTATACCTGGAATTTTGTCTTCCACCCGCTAAGGCGATGTTGGATAAAACAGGCCTGAAGCATGGTTCCCTGAGTGAGTGGAAGGCCTGCCCGCCTGTGAACCAGCCACAGGAAGATAGTAGCCCCTGGCCGCCTGAAATGTGGCCAGTCCAGATTGAGGTCCCTGTAGGTGTCAAATGTGCACTGGGTTTCTAAGATACAGCGTGAAAAGAATGTAAACGATTTCATTTTGTATTGATTATGTATTGAAATGAGAATGTTTTGGAAAATTTGAAATCACATACGTGCTTCTCATCCTTTTGTTGCTTGAGGCTGGTCTTACCAGCTAAATCTTCCGGGTTGCCTTTTTAAATACAGTCATGCGTGACTTAATGATGGGGACCCGGTCTGAGAAATGCATCTTGTCGTCGAATGCACTCACACAAACCTAGATGGAATAGCCGCACACCTAGGCCTTGTGGCATAGGCTGTTGCTTTGGGCTCCAAACCTGTACAGCATGTGACTCTACAACATACAATTAAATCAAGCGCAAGAGAAAATGATGCAATCAAGAGACATAAACACAAGGCGTGTGACACAGCCGGGCCCCAGCCTGGCATACAGCAGACGATTTTTTCATGAGTAGAGTGTACACTAACGATAAAAAGTATATACAGCAAATACATAAACGAGTACCACTGCCATTTATTATCATTATCAAGCATTATGTGCTATACATGTGTGTGCTACATTTTCATACGACAGAACAGTAGGTTTGTTGACATCAGCATCACCACAAACACTTGGGTAATGCGTTTCACTGGTCATCACGGTGGCTGCCGTGTCACTAGGCGGTAGGAATTTTTAGCTCTATTATGTCTTATAGGACCACTGTCTTACATGCGGTCTGTCGTTGACCAAAACGTGGTGATGCAGCATGTGACTATAATCTGTCTTCTAGGAAAGAGGACCGAGTCCTTCATCTTGTAATTGTGAAGGAAGAGGCCAGGTTGCACGTCTCAGGTAGGCCTACGGGTGTGCTGTGCATCACTTAATTTTTATGGAAAGGGGAAGAAAAAGACCAGATAAAAGACTGACATTTTCAGAAAGCAAGTTCCAGTTCAGGGAGCCCTATGTAAGTCGCACGAACATGACAGTAACTGCTGGTAATAAAGATACCAAGCTATCTAGAAATTTGAGTTATGTTTAATGAATCTGGTTAAAAATATAATGAAACGTAGAACATGTAAGCTTTTTGTTGAAAATATTTAAAATAGGTTCTGGCTTTTATCATTGAATCTCTAGATACAGTATACCTTTTTTTTTTTGAGATTTCCAGTGAACTAGTAAGCTGAGGTTTTAGGGGAGTTTTGTTTCTGGTTGTTTATATTTGCTTTATATTTATTTTTCATTCCCTCGTTTAACCGAAGCCTGCTGCGGGGCCGGCAGTGTAGCTGGAGAGTGCCATTATGAAGGTGAACAACGCAGACACGGCCCTTAATCCCTCAGAGATAATGAGTGTCAATTCAGACAGCGAAAAAGTAGATAATGACCATGGTATACTGTATTTTGCCTTTAAGCGGGTGCTGTACCTCTGTAAATCCAACAAGTTAATTGTTTTAAACCTAGAATTTATATATTCCTGCGGACACGTTAAGAAAGAGCCTTATTAGGATTTGACCGGGCTTAAATATTAGGAAAGAATAAAATATACTTAATTCATGTATTAATTATGAGAACCTAAAGAATAAAAATTTTAGGTTAGAATATTTCTTTACCTTTCAATATAAAAAAGATGAAAAAAGGTTATAATAGCATCTTATTTATAATACTTCCTTTTAGCCCTTCAGCGACTTTTAGGTTCTCAGGAATTTCATAATAGAATGTAAAGGAGACATTGATTTATGCCGCTAACATAGTGTAAAATTGCTGACTTAAAAAAAGTTAAATTTATTTTAGCATATTACATAGTTGTTAAATCAATATATTTGAGTCTTTTAGGAAAGAAGTGAACAGATCTTCTGGTAGTTACTACTGCCGATGTTACAGTTCCACAGAGTTAGCCCCTCAGACGCCACCAGTGGATTCTCTTACAGCTCCGTAGTCAGGAGTCCCGCTCAGGTCTCACGGGGCCATAATCCCGTCGTCTCCAGGTCTGGGCTGCTTCCGGAGGGGCTGGTCCGGGGAAGAATCTCTGCTTTTTCTTTTTGCCCATTCAGGCCATTAACTAAATTCAGTTCCTTGCTGTGGCCGTATCGAGGTCCCTGTCGGCTGAGGGACGTTCCGGCTTCTAGAAGCCATCGACGTTCCTTGGGCGCGGCCCTGTTTCTCCATCTTCACAGGCAGCAGTGCTGAGTCGAGACCTTCCCAGCCTTCGGATTCTCTCCCCTCTTCTGTCGTTTCACCGATCCAAGCGCGGTTTTGAGGACGCCGAGTGGGTTGGGCCTGCCAGACAGTCCAGGACCAGCTCCCCGTCTCCGGGTCCGTAACCTAGCACAGCTGCTGACTCCCTCTTGCTGTGGCGAGGTACCTGTTCCCAACTTCCAGAGATCATGGCACGGGCCTTTTAGGGGCCATTACTCTGCCTGCCACCGATCTCAGCTGCGGCCGCGCAGTATGTCCGGCCTTGGGCACCAGGCTTCTCAGCACTTTAAAGATCTCAGCTGGGGCCGCGCAGTCCGGCCTTGGGCACCAGGCTTCTCAGCACTTTAGAAGTGATGATGTGGCTAATAACATGTCCATTTTATTGGATGTGTAATACAGCACGTTGCAGGCGCTACTGTAAATCCTTTTTCTGCGTTTACTGATTCAGTCCTCGCAAATGCCCCGGGGGCGAGCACTTCTTATGCCCATTAGAGGGAGGGAAACAGAAACGGAGCGGGGAGCAGCTCGCCTGGCTTCTCTCCCGCAGCCACTGAGGAGTGGGGTGAGGGTTTGAACCTACACAGTCTGGTTCTAGGGCCTGTGCGTGCTCTGAGCCACAACACAGTAAAACTCATTTCTGGATGTGAGGATTTACGAAACATGCTTTAGTGATGCAGTGACTGTGAGTTCAGGCTCTGGCATCACAGTATCGGGATTTAAATTCTACCTTCACCAGTTACTGGATGACCTGGGACAAGTTACTGAACCTCTCCGAGCCTAAATTGATAATGAACTGAATTAATAATAACACTTGAGGATTAAATGAGCCACTACACGTGAAGCACTTAGAACAGTGTCTCCACATAGTAAGCTAGTGCTAGCTGTCATTATTGGCGGCAATTTAGCTTTTAAAAAGTTTATTGTAAAAATAAATGTTTTCTTTAGATAAATTCAGTCCTTTATGAAATAAAATCTGGAAACTAAAATTTTCCTTTTCACAGGCCACAATGCTCTCTCCTTTCTCAGCCTCGATTTCTCCCCGCTCTGGTCTGGCCTCTGTCTTTGGAGCCCAGTGCTGCCCGCTCATGGGCCTTCCACACTGTCCAGGTTCTGCTCGCCCCAGGGCACCCGTCTGAACTCCTTAGAAGGCACCAGGATACAAGCTCCACATACTCCCCGTGCCACTCCTGTGCCTGACGCCCACGCAGCCATCATCCCCGACATCTTTCCGTTCCCTTTTGCTATTATGATTTTGTTGAGAGAGGCCCAGGGCATATCCCGGCTCCCCCAACCTCACCCTCTCTCCTGAGAACCTGTGCTGCCGGTGCCTTCCAGCAGACCCTCGTCACCTCTGCACGGTGAGTAATCAAAGAGGTTCGTGGCCTCCGGCCTCACTGCCCAGGCTTTCTCTCCCCGCTGCTCGTCAGAGCGACCTTTCCGAAGTACGGACGCCACACGTTCCTGTCACTCTCCTTCAAACCCTTCAGTGCCCCCCGACCCGACCCCAGTTCCTGCAAATAATTTTTCCATTTTATATGTCTCTTAGCGCCTTACATGCTTCCATTGTAGCATTTAAGCTATCACAGTTGTTTTGTTTAAGCAGTTGTCTTTCCTTCTAAATCATGAATTCGTTGATAGGGGATATGAGATGGTTTCGCGTGAAAGAATTAATTATACCATTTTGTCATTATCCGTTTACATGTCTGCCGCTTGTCACTAAACTCTGAACTCTTTAAGGACAGCCTCGTAGTTTTATTCATTTTTCTGTTTTTCCTCTGTGCCCAATATGTGGGAGATGCTTAGTAATTGTTGAAGGAAGGAAAGAATGAATGAATAAATGAATAAATGAATAGGAAAGAGCCCAACATCCAGTTGAAAAAATTCTGCCTAAGTCTAAAAAGGGATCTGAAGCAACTTAATTGGAATATATAAGGTCGTGATTTTAGAAGAAGCATACCTGGTGCTTAAAAGCGTGGCTTCTGGCAACAGAGCGCCTGGCTTTGAATCCTAGCTCTGCCACTTACCACCTGGGCACTCCTGGGCAGGCCAGTGGCCCCTGTGTCTGTTCTTTCTCTTTAAAACAGGGATGATAATAGGAACTATCTCTTAGCGTTAATAGATCCAATTCAGTTAACATTTACAAAGTGTCTGTAACAGTTTCTACCTCATAGTAAATATTCTGTGTTAAGTAAAACACAATAGTTTATATTCTCATTGCTTTTGATGGTAGCTAATGTCCTTATAGTACTGTGAATAGAAATAGCTCAGGTTTTTTAAATTGTGATGATGATTAGAGATTTTTAGCTCTCAATGATTTTTAATCTTGTACGTTATAGAATGACCACATATAGTCATTAAACATTTAGAGAGTACTTGTTCTGATCCCTCTCATTAGTACCATGACATATTTTCTCTGTTTTATTTTTCTGTAATCTGCTGTAATATAACAAATTACCGCAAACTTACGGCTTAAAACAGCAGAAATTGATTATGTTACAGTCCTAGATGTGAGCAGTGCAGCACCTGACCTCGCTGGGCTAAGAGCTCGCCGTCAGCAGAGCCGCATCCCTTCCTGGACACTCTAGGAGAGGACTATGTCCTTGTCTTTCCCAGCTCCCAGGAGGCGCTCACATTCCTTGGCTCATGGCCGCCGCCTCCACCTTCAACACCAGCTATGTTGTCTCTCTGACGACAGACAGGGAAGGTCCTCAACTTTTAAGGAGTCTGGTGATAGCTCAGGCCCAGCCGAGTAATCAAATCTCGGTCAGTCTCCCAGCTCAAGATCCTTAACTTAATTACATCTGGAGAGGCCCTTTCGCCATATAATTTATTCAGAGGTTCTAGGGTTCAGGTAAGGGACTCTTTGGGGGACTGTTAGTCTCCCTGCCACAGTCTTGTGCTGTAAAGGAATTGCTGCTGAAGGGCACCTAGCTGGTACTTTCTGAAAATGGAGGCAATGTGAAGTAATTGCGAACAGTCATATCGATATCACGTACCATGTATTCCTCAGTGGTTGGTGAGAGTCACATCTGCTTAGCAGAGCGCCAGGGTCCTGCAGGGCTCACTCATCCCTGTCCTTGTCTGCGTGATCTGTGATGCTAGTAAGGAGGGGAGAATAAGCTCATTTTAGTTGAGTATCTGCTGTGGGCCAAGTGTCTACAGTGAATTTCACATTCGTTATTCCCGTTTAATTTCTACAACAACTTTTTAACGTTTAATAGGGAGATGACCATCAGTGGTCCCTACCACACAGTATTCACACCCTGTAGAGTCTCGCCCCTTTGGACGTGGGCTCGACCTGATGACCCCCAGTGAATGGCGCAGGACCATAGAGATAGGGCATCCTTTCTGGGACCTGCCAACGACCAGAGCGTGACCGTGGAAGCCGCGCTCTCCAGGTGAGCCTTCGATGACAGCTGCCCCAGCGGGCACCTCGATCGCAGCATTGTGAGAAACCCTAAGCCAGAGAGCTGATGAGATAATAAATATTTTTAAAAGCTACTGAGTTTGGAGTAATTTGTTATGCAGCAATAGGTAACTAATACTAAGACACTATTTTAGTGCAAATGAAATCTTGAAATGGTGATGCGACTTTGTAGGTCTCCCAGTTATTAGCAAAAGCTCTTTCCACTGCAAATAATGATGATGATAATAAAATTAGGATTTTGGTAGTGGCTTACATTTATTGAGTGCTTACTAGGTGGTAGTCACCTTTCAGATCATTTTATAGATTATCTTAGATGATTACAACTCTGCAGTAGGTACTGTCACGACTCCATTTTACAAATAATGAAGTTGGAGCTAAAATTAAAAGGACACGCCCGAGGTCTCCAGTTAAGTCTGCTCATTGGCAGGACTGACGTCGTTTATGTGACTGGGGTTTTCACTCTCAACCACTATGATAAATTGTCCCCTGAAAATGCACACTGCGGGGCAAAAGGTGATGGGTGCAGCAGGAAGGGAGGGAGGGTTTCAGGAGTTTGGAGGCAGCTGAGATCGACCCAGGGGAACTAGGAAGGCACCCGATGCGACCCACGAAGGCTGGGCAGGGTGTGGGCACGTGGCTGCCAGGGGGAGGACGTGTCAGCCGAGCATGAGGCACAGAGGAGGAAACACCAGCTCAGTGTCTAGGGCTGGGGCAGGAGGGGACCAGTGGAAGGTAATATTAGAAAGTAGTTTGGAGCCTGATTATAGCTATGCAAAAGATGATGAATATTTTTTGTTAAAAAATTGGTTCTTGAGTTTTTTGACTAGTAGTTTAAATCAACTACATCTTAAACTATACAATGGAACTATTATAGAGATAATATTCCGGCGAATTCGGAATGGGATCTGATCATATGAATTGTACGAAAATATGAAATTTAGTTTCAGTGAAGTGCAAAAGGATAATAATGCATACAGGGCGTTTGGCGTGGTTCAATTTCTTAACAGTCAAAGATGTGTTCAGTTTATATTTAGTTTCAATAAAACTACGTGAATATCAAAATTTGCAGGACTTTTTATGTCCTCGTAAAAATAATATTAGTGGTTACATTCAAAGCACATTAAGTATTTCACTAAAAATAGAACCTGTCGAGATGAAGGAAAATATGATTGTGTTTCAGTTACCTGGGAGTGAACGTTAAACACAGAGCTGTGGAAAGAAGCAGGGCTTAAAATATCCTCTCTTTTTCTCAAGCCATCATTCAAATTCACTAGATGGAAATTTAATTTTGTAAGATGTCTGAACTCTTCAAATTTGTTTATGGTGTGCGCTTTCAATTTAGACAATTTATCATTACTTGGAGAGGAGCTTTTTCCTCTCAAGCCAGATCGCATTTCCTTTCCAGGGACCAGTTGAGGCAGGAGAAATGTTTCCACGGGTCACACCTCGCCAGGAGGAGCTGCTGTGCAGGAACCGGGCTCACTGCGTGATGACAAAAGGAAGTATGTAACCCTTTTCCCCCCAGTCTCTGCGTTCTTGACAAGCCCCGTAACTCTCCAGCCCATAGACGCAAGCCATGTCCCTTCTGAATCTTAAATGTAGGGACTGAACTGCTTCCCAACAGTACTGAGCAGGCCATTGCAAATAGGAACTACATCCAGAGGCCTGCCTTTGATTGGTCTCTGACAGTCGTGTGACCGTCGGAAGGTCCCTTCACTGTCATGAGCCTCCGTTTCTTAATCTCTCCTAGGTTTGTCCTGTCCTCTAAGATTCCTTTTTGCTTTAATGGATTATGATCCTAAAGGCCAATTCCGTGTACTGGTTTTAGCCCAATTCTGCACTTAAACATAAGGGCCTCTGTGCCGTCTCTGTTTTTTGAAACGGCCTCTTCTCCGTCTGCAGGTTTTCTGCAATAACGTCATTTACGTCCGAAAGAAAGGCTAAGTCCTAAATTCTTGGCCTCCCCGAATCCGGCTCCTCTTCTTGGTCCTTTTGATCTCATAATTTAGGAGAGACCACGCCCTGCACCCCTCAGGCAGACAGATTCTGTACCCGCCCTAGAGGAACAAGCACGAAGTCATCTCTATAAAGTATCTCCGTTTCCCACGTGTACTTAAGTATTCGTACTGTATATCTTAACTGCTGTAACAGAGGAAGTCAGGAAAAGAAAAAAAATATATGGCAATAATTGGACCTGATGTCATTGACCTTAGCAAACTCAGCATCCAAGCCTAGTTTCATCCCCAGCCCTCAACTCTCAACCCTGGAGGATGGCAGGGACTCTCAAAGGGACTTGCTTCCAAAAGAAGCCTTTGAAACCATGGTAAGGCGTTTTGAATGAGAGCCACCCGCTCATTGCATCAGGGCTTTGGGACTGGCCTGCTGTCAATACGCATGTCTCCCTCAAAACGTGGGGCGTGGAATAATGGTTTATACAGGTTCCCGGGGTTTTACTTGCTTTCCGAACATTCTAGAAAGTGTCCAGGAGTCCCGATTATTCTCGAGCTTCTGAATTCATGCACTGACCTCCTTGTGACTCATTTTAGAAGGACCTAACTAAACATTGCTCCTGGTTTTCTCTGGGTCACAGAAATCCGCTGCCAGTTACAGAACTGGCCTTGATGTTAAGGTCCGCAGGTACTTTGAGCCCCAAGCCCTCATCGCCTCTGCTGGATGCCAGGCCAGTTACCAGGGACTGGCTTTCTACCAGTGACTCACCCAGGAGCCAGAGAGTAGGTCTAAATAAGCAGGGGTTTATTAACTCAGGGCACTTTCTTAAGTAATAAAGATCAGCACCCTTGCAAAGACTAGGCCTACGGCACATGTGCTACTGTGGTGGCTTCTAGATAACCTAGAAAAACAATGGCCAACTCCTGAGTTGGCCTGGTGGGTGGTGGAGGAAGGGAAGGAAAATTCTTGACAGAAGTGGGCTCGTTGGAGTGGATATATTAGGTAAGACCAGAAAACTCACCCTGAAATTATCTGCCGCAAGAGGGCTTGTCGGACCATTCACCAAAGCCACCAGGACGATGCTGGTTGATGAGAGAACTTAGTATTCCAAGCCGTGAAGCCAGGTGGCTGATGTATGAATCACCATTCTGTAACTTACTAGCTGTGTGACCTTGGACAGTGACTTCAGTCCCAAGACAAAGTTATTTTAGCTGCACTATGGGGCCGGGGCCAATATTTGAATTATGTATTGTTGGGAACAATCCCTATCACGATCCAGGTAAAATGTGTAATATTCATCAGCACGTAGTATATATGCAATGAGTATTAACTCATAATAAAATGCATTTTTTTTAACCTTTACAATTGCCCTTGCCACTTGCATCTGAAGCAGATATCAAATGCCTGTCTGGTCTTTCAAACTCCATTTTTATTTTGGAATTCTAGTTACTGGAAAATGCGACAAACTATAATTTCTTTAGGAACAAATTAGTATAAAAGAGGAATTTTATCACTTCCTGTGAATTTCCAATACCCAAATTGACAAATCAAGGCAAACCCAAATTTGAAAATGTGCAGAGAGGGAGATTACCACTAAATCACCTCATTTAATTTACCTTTCAAAAATATATATTTTAAAACAGTAGGATAAAAAAGGAAAACTTTGAGGAAAAGGGCCGTTTCCCTACTGCACCTCCTCAGTGGTTGACTGTATTTTCCCCCAGGAATGGAAGAAAAGAACATGAGGGTTGATTGCACCAAAAGGGCGACACGAATAAAAGAATCAAGAAATCACATATGTCTGCACAGAAGTCAACTAATAAATCAAAAGTGTGTTCTTGGCTAAGTCAGATGTTGCTTTGAAATAGCATATGGTGCAATCCCAATATACTCTGTTCAGCTACCTAACGGGCTGTCTCGTTGCTTTCAACTAGTGAAAAATTGAGCAGCACAAATGTTTATAAGGCTGGTAAAACATTTTAACTTTATTTTATGCCCTGATTAGCTATTGCTGGCCTGATGATTACATTGTAAAACCTTAAATCATAAATGGAGAAAATAACCTATTGGCAGGATTAAACACTAATTGTTACAATGTCCTACATTAAATGTGTTCATAGTTTCTTTTTAACAGTTATTCTGATGTAAAATTTAACAAGTTTTCTTTCATCCCATATCAAGTCTGGATTTAAAATATCTGCATCATTTTTAGAGTTAAGAGTTTGAAAATTAACATGTGTCATAATAACTAACCATATCAAATCCTCGTGATGGTGTCATGTCCTAATCAGGTAAGAATGAAGATTACAACCTTTAAAAATATTATGATGACTATATCTGACTATAAAGGATAAGTAATCCCAGCATAATTAAAGAAAAATAGTTTATTTGGATTTTTAAACTTTTAAATACTAAGAAACCCGTGAGGGCTGCTGTGGTTAAACACAAGTTCGTACCGAAAGAGAAACTTATGAGAATATCATTAATTGACAAGGGTAGGGGGGTTTACTTCAGTCAACCATTATTCTCTCTATCTTAGAATTATATTTAAGTGCCATGACATTATCATGCCACAGTGTTAGTCAATGTCAAATCTGAAAACTATATTCCACCCCCGTATATCCCTTTTCCAAAAAATGCGACCACTTGTGTTCATTGGTCATTGATAACCACAGAAGGACAGTCCACTAGAGGAAAGTATGGAACTCTGTGTTTTTTCAGACCCAAAAGGGGAGAAGGGTGGGAGAGTATTAGTGAAAGAGTGATTTTGAAATAGAAAAGTGATAAAGGAGATGTTGATATAAATTTCTAGCCAGTTCATTTACTTTCCACATGTATTGTAAATTGGGTCATTCTGAATGGAAACCAAAGTGCCCGTCTCCAGGGACCACGTTCAGCAGCGTCCAGGGGGTTCAAGAGAAGGCATGGCGGACCCCTTCCTGCGTGTGGAGCCTATTCTGTCTTCTGAGAGGGCCCTTGAACCACTTTTCCAGGATTCGGAAATCCAGGGTCTCTTGGCTGATTCTTGCTTCCATTAACTCTACTCATTATTTCCAAGGCCACTAAATTCTGTACTTATTATCTGTTTGCAGCACATAATATTTCATATGAGCACAGTGCTATCAGCAACAGCAAAACAGATCATGGAAATGCTCTCTAAAAATCCGAGTGGTCAGATGTTGATGGGACTGGCTGTCTGTCACAGAAGGTATGTGGGCGTTTTAGTCGTGTGATTTTTCCTCATCTGGCCCCTAAACAAAAGAACTGAACTAATAAAAGAGGAAGAGGTGCTGGTGAAGTGTCTCCTCTCTGTCGACGTCTGGCACACATCACCTCCATCATTTCCCACCGGTCCAGGCCCACGATCAGTTCTGCTCATAGCTGAGAAACGCTGACACATGCCTTGGAACAGTAACTTGGCACAAGCCACCCATATGCAAGGTCTTGCCCCTTGCTTGTGCTCCAGTTGCAATAAGGGGTGTTGTCAAGCCTTTGACCAAAACTCTGACCTTTCCCTTCTACTTAATTTCTACGTGACCTGTTTCTCTCTCTGAATCTCACCCAATGTTCCCTAACGCCGGACTCCTGGATGCTTCTGCATCCTGTCCTGTTCGCCTGCGAACCCTGCCTTTGTGTTGCCTGTGGCTGCTCCCTGCTGATGATTATGTCCCATGTTCAGCTGCAGCTGCTCCACGTTGGGCTCTTCCCGCCGTCAGTTATCTGACTGCTTAGGTCTCTATTTGTGATAAAACCCAAACATGCCACATATGGATTCAGAATTACCCCCATTTTCCTACTTGGGGATCCAGACTGTTTTACCTCCTCTTTTCCTTCGGCCAGCCCAGTTTTACTGTCCAGCCTTCCCTGTGTCTCTGGTCCGTTGCTTATGGGAAGGAAGAAGGCGAACATGGGCAAAGGGATGAGAAATAGCAGCAGTGACAAATCGGAGCCTTGGAGGGGTCTCTGCTGTGGCACTGTCTTGGATGGATCCTTCTTTTCCTCGGTCTCCTTCTGATTGTACGGAGAAGGGATCTGTGAAGACTTTTGCTTAACTTGAAGCTCACAGGTAGTGATTTGGGCAGTTATTTTGAATTTATCCATATGTCAGTAGTGTGGTCGTGAGCTTCTTTCTTGTTAATTCTTAATTTGCCTTTCTTTTTTCGCTGCTGTAAAATTGTCCCTCTCCAAAACAGAACACTCTTTTTTTTTTTTTTTCCTCATAAGCAAAGCACCCTCATTAATTTCTCACTTAGTGATGATTCATTAATCGTGGAAGGGCATGCGAGCTGCAATAAAAGCAACTCCTTTAATTTAATTTAATTTAACAAACGTTTATTGACTGTTTAATGTGCAGGCCAAAGTGCTAAGCATGAGACCCAAAGAAACCCAGTTTGGGTGGTAATGTAAATTATTTTTCATTGGGATAAGTGTTTAATAAACTTTTCTGAATCAGATCTAATTGGTGTAGAATTTATTATGGTTTTAAGTTTAGATAGCAAATTCTAGCATAAACTAGCAATAAAAATGAAGAAACATGCTTGGATTGTTTCTATAAAGAATGAATATCTTTTATTTAGGTAACTTATGTACAGTTCGTATTTTCATGAAAACAATACCGAATCAAGAATTAAACCCTGCAAAATACCAGTGTTTATGCCTTCTTTTTGTTTTCTTCTCATTGATTTCATTATGTAGGAATAATACAGAGTTAGAATCAGGGACATGGTTAAAGAACAAATAATATCTGAGCAAAGTAGGATATAATATGAAATCGTTATTTTCATTTGATTCTGTGTTGAGTCACAGAATCATGGACCATTAGAACAGACAGACTTAGGGATCAAGTTCATTTCAATCATCTTACAGGTAAGAAGGCTCAGGTCCCAGGGAGAAGACGTGATTTGCTCAAGGTTGCCCAGCTAGTTAGAATAAGGAACCAGCTTTGGGTTAAAGTGTGAAGTGTTAATCATGTCTCTGAATGGTAAAAAGCAGAAAAAAATTCAAACTCACTTATCGCCATGTCACTGAGAATTGGGCGGATTACAGACATGACTTGATTTAGGGAGAGCGATGGTTTTACTTTCCGTCGATTCTCTCTCTCCATCTCCATCTCCAGAGTCGGGTTCTGTCTTTGGGGGCATTTCCTCCTAGTGGGGACAGGCTTCATCCAGGCTGCTGATAAAGCTGGTCACAAGTAGCCACAGGAGCATAGTTCCTGGTTTACCAACTTAGTGAAATACTTGAAGTAAGACCCTTTATTATTTGTGTATCGTGAGGATCCTGATTTCCCTGCGTAGATCACATGTGGGCCACCGTGCCAGTCACCAAGCCCCAGGCATGGCTCTCGTGCCCACCTAAGAGGGCCACAGAATCTTGATTGCCCCCAGAATAAGAGTGATGCTAGGAAAATGTTCTGGATAGACAAACACAGTGACTCTGTAGCCCACTACATTAGAAAGAAAAGCTAAAAAATTTTTTGTAAGTTTCATATATTTAGAAGAAAACGAGTAACATTAAAACCTGATTTTGTATTTTTAGAATGGTTTAAAAGGTTGGAGATATTGAATAGGATATTGTTTGCTGGATTAGATCTTATTGCAAACATTGAATAATTTGTCAACGTAACGTATGTTCCCTTTTCTATAAACCTCCCCCCACGATCCGAACATCTCTGCTAATGATTAGCAAATCCAACTTTTCCATTCTTTCTTCATCCCTCTTGTTGTCAACTGTACAACTCCAGCTAAACAGCAGAGACAATTCTTATCTAAAAAAAAAAAAGTTGGAGGGCCCTTTTTATTCATACTCACTTGATTCTTTGATAAAACTAATGTTTATTGTAATGAATATTAATGGTTAATGAAGTAATGCGTAATTTGCTTAGACCGTTGCTGCCTACACGGAAAGTGCTTTTTGAAAGTTTATCCTCCTGAATGTAATTATTTTGTGCCTGTGCATTATCAAATTGTCACTATAGTTCAATGGACTACATACTCATGAAGTTTTTTCTAGAATGAGTTAGCAAAGAAATGATTACATGGAAACATAAATGCATACACACATTCATGATCGGACATCTGACCTGAGTGAACACCAGTCAACCACTGCTGATATTTACTGCTAATCTTTAATTCTACTTCTGTTAGGTGTCATTTAAATGATTAAGTCATTGGCCCGGTGTAATGTAAGAGCGGAAGCTTTTACAGCGAGTGTGGGTTTGGGTCCCAGCTCCGCTTCATACTAGTTGAATTAATCTTGCTGAGTCCTGTTTTCCTCATCGGAAAATGTGTAATAGTCATAGTATCTAAACACACGCCTGGCCAGTGGCAAGCGCTTGCATGTGCCTGATTGCGAATACCGAGCTGCTTCTTTCTATTCATGCTTTGTGTATTTTAAGCTGGAGCACACCTGCACACTCTAATACACACGCATGCACACACACACACACACGCACGCGCACACACACACAGGCATGTGGCAGTTCACCATAAGCGAGAAGTCAGAATCTAAATAAGGCACATCATCCTCCAACCCCAATTTTTCTCAAAAGTTTCTGAGGAAAAGGTAAAGTATTTAACTAGTAAAATGATTTGCAATGTTTTAAAAATCAATGCCTTTCTGCGCGGTTCCTTCCCGGGCACCTGGGCGTTCCCACCAGACCCGAGACTCGACTCCCTGGGCTTCTCATTTCCAGTTCACGTCTCTCAGAAATGCAAGCGCTTGCATGTGCCTGATTGCGAATACCGAGCTGCTTCTTTCTATTCATGCTTTGTGTATTTTAAGCTGGAGCACACCTGCACACTCTAATACACACGCATGCACACACACACACACACGCACGCGCACACACACACAGGCATGTGGCAGTTCACCATAAGCGAGAAGTCAGAATCTAAATAAGGCACATCATCCTCCAACCCCAATTTTTCTCAAAAGTTTCTGAGGAAAAGGTAAAGTATTTAACTAGTAAAATGATTTGCAATGTTTTAAAAATCAATGCCTTTCTGCCCGGTTCCTTCCCGGGCATCTGGGCGTTCCCACCAGACCCGAGACTCGACTCCCTGAGCTTCTCATTTCCAGTTCCCGTCTCTCAGTCCCCTCACTCACTCACTGAGAAGTCCGCCTCTTGGATTCTGTTTGTTCTACCCGTTAGCCGCCTTTGTCCAGCGCCCGTGGTGTAGGCTGACTTTCTCCCAGAGGAGACACCGTCGATAAAGCCAGCTCTCTCCTGTTGTCTGTTGCTCTCTGTGCACCGTGACCTTCAGTCTCTGTCCACCTCCCCAGACTCCACACGCCACCGGAACTGAGAGTCCTAGATGTTTCCTGAATGTCCCCTGCCGGTGCAAGATTTTGTTCCTTTGCTTGTGCCACTCTCTGCTTGAAATACCTGTCAGACGAAGGTACATTTAATTTTAAAGTCTTTCTTGGAAAAGTCTCTATTAAAGCTTTCATGATCACCTCCCTAGACGAAATCTTACTCACTCACTGGATGTCATTATACTCATTTCCACTCATTTGATTTTTGTGTCTGCCTTCCATGGCTACTTAACCATTGTGGGCTCAGCAATGGTGCAGTACCTAACATGTGATAGGCAATTAATAAATATTTATTGGATGAAAAATTAAAAGTTTTTCTTTTTCCAAGAGTAAGGCATATGGAACTTTTATCCCCATTCCTTGCCTACTTCTCTGGCTAGTGGGAGCACAGGGTTAAGTGTGAGAACAAAAGCTATTAGCTATCTTGACCCTCATTGGTGGTGTATTTGATTCTTTATTTTCCTCTATCTAGGATTTTACATGATTAACTTGAGATGTGATTTAAAAAAAAATAATAAGTTCGTGTGTGTGTATGTGCGTGCGTGTGCAGAAAGAGGTGGATAAATAAATAATTTCAAAACCTACTATTTCAGAAAATAGCAATATTTTGATTGGCATTCTTTTATGCTTGTAGATATTCCAGATTATCAAATTTTTCTACACGCTGTAAAATAATTAAGATTACCACCTCACATGAAAGAAAATTTGCACATGGAAAAAGTATTCCAGCACCAAAAGAGCAAATTTCGTTGTTTTTGATATTAATGATTAAAATCAGTGTACAGAAATATGAATATCTGTAACATTTGATTACGTAAACTTTAAGTAAATTTCTTGACACGAACGTCATCTATGGCTCTTGCAAATATCTAGTCAAACGTTTAGGTCAAATACATAAATAGTTTTGAGTTAAACACTAAAGTTTAAGGTCCATGATCTAGATTTTTGAAAAATTTAGGGAAAAACATTGAGATGTACAAATACAGAAAAAGAATAACTACAAAAACACATGCCAAACCACTCACAGAAGTCCTAAAGTTTGGTAAATTTGGTTTTCACAACAAAAACAGCTATCTAATTGTGTTAAATATTAGGATGTTTTTCAAAGTTTTATGAATAATAATGAAACAGGTCTATGGTCTAATCTATTGTAATTAAGATATATATACAGCGATTGTAGTTGTGTGTGCGTGTGTGTGTGTGTGCAGAAAGAGGTGGATAAATAAATAAAGTAATAAAATGAATTGTGTGCACATGTAATTCTTGGGGACTCAGAATGAGTGAATTTATGGTTTATTATATAATTTACATTTATAAACAGAACAATTTATAGTTATTGATATCAGTGCCATCGATATTTGGATATTAGCAGTAGCGTGCTGGTAAATGTTTAATAAACAACTTTCTCGGGGAGGGGGGAAGTTCTGATTTGCATGTTTGCCAATTTCCATGGTGTAAATGCTCCTATCACAGCCACTTTCAAGCCACCAATGTGCGGTTACAGAACAGAGTTAGGGGGAGAAGCGCACAGCTGGGCCTGCGAACTGCAAGCCAGCCCCGGGGCTGCTGCCAAACTCCTATGCTTCTGTGGGTGTCCGGTAAACTCGGTTTTGATTTAGATACTTTTTTTAATAAAATGATAAAAGAAGCCATTATATGTGAGGCAGATAACCTTGATTTACAAGGTGTAGTCACGCATTTAGTGCTTCCTTTTTTTCTTCAGCTTTTTGAAACCTTTCCAGATGCCATCATAGGCTAGTTTCTAAAGATCAAGTTTCTGAAGAGTTGCAGAAAGGCTTTGCTGAGATAGAATATGACATTTCTTCATCCGTAGGTTGATAGAATGTAATGTTGTGGAGAGAAACGACCTTGGTTTTATGGTTAATATCTGTAATACGTAAAATACCACTGATAAAATAGGCAGTATTTCAGCTGCTATAAAAATTGTGCAAAGTCCCTAGTTACTTAAGCTGAAGTTTGTTTGAATATTTTAAAATACCCAAATGGTTGTGGCTTCATCCTTTATGTAATATTTAAGATCTTTGGAATTTTTCAGAGTGATACACAATTAAGGTTTGAGCATGAAAAATGTTTGAGTCAAGTAAAACTGAGTATCTTTCTGAGCCTTTGAAGTTTA